GGAACTAAGTTCTTATATACTGCTAAAACTTGGTGTTAATTCAAACAAGACTGTTATAAATTAAGATGTTAATTGTAATCCCAGTGAAACCACCAAGAAAATTACTAAAAAATAAAGTGTAAAAGAAGCAGAAGGAAATCAAAATGGTACACTGAAAACCATCTATAACACACAAAAGATGGCAATAATGAAAGAACTGAGGAGCAAAAGAACAATATATAGAAAACAAATGGCAAAATGGCAGAAATCTTTCCATGTAAGTAATTACTTAAAACGTAAATGGAATAAACTCTCCAATTAAAAGACAGAGATTGGCCGAATGGATTAAAAAATGTGAAGGACATTTTATTCTGATAAGAGTCGGTCCATAAAGACATAAAAATTATAAACATATGCACCTAATGACAAAGCCTCAGAAAGTTTGAAACAAGAATTGAAGGGATTTACCAAGAAGCCACTAAGACACGGTGGCCTAAAAAAAAAAAAGAGTAATATAAGTTAAAGGAAAAAAAAAAAAAGAATTGAAGGGAGAAATCTTCCAAAAATAATAGTGGAAGACTTCAACACCCCACTTTCACTATTGGATAGGACAATTAGATAAAAGGTAAAAAAAGGTAACAACACTGTAAACCAAGTAGACCTAACACACACATATAAAACACCCAACAATAACAGAATATGTATTCTTCTCAAGTACACATGGAAATTCTCCAGATAGACCACAGAACAATCTAAATTAATTTTAAAAATTTGACCACAATGGAATCAAATTAGCAATCAACAACAGAAGGACATCTGGAAAATGTACAACTATGTGGATTTTTTTTTTTTTTTTTTTTGAGACAGAGTCTCACTTTGTTGCCCAGGCTAGAGTGAGTGCCGTGGCGTCAGCCTCGCTCACAGCAACCTCAATCTCCTGGGCTCAAGCAATCCTGCTGCCTCAGCCTCCCGAGTAGCTGGGACTACAGGCATGCGCCACCATGCCCGGCTAGTTTTTTCTATATATATTAGTTGGCCAATTAATTTCTTTCTATTTATAGTAGAGACGGGGTCTCGCTTTTGCTCAGGCTGGTTTCAAACTCCTGACCTTGAGCAATCCACCCGCCTCGGCCTCCCAGAGTGCTAGGATTACAGGCGTGAGCCACCGAGCCTGGCCATATGTGGAAATTAAACAACACACTTCAAAAAAATCAGAGGGTCAAAAGAGAAATCACAAGAGAAATTAGGATATACTTCGAGATTAATGAAAATAAAAGCCCAATGTACTAAAATTTATGGGTGAACAAAAGCTTTTCAAAAGAAGATAGACAAATGGCCGATAAACACGAAAAATGCTTAACATCATCAGGGAAATGCAAATTAAAACCACAGTGGGATATCACCTTACTCTTGTTATAATTGCTTTTATTAAAATGTCCAAAAACAATAAATGCTGGATATGGATAGACTGTTGGTGGGACTGAAAATTAGTACAACCTCTGTGGAAAACAGTATGGAGATTCCTCAAAGTACTAAAAGTAGACCTAACCATTCGATCCAACAATCCCACTACTGGGTATCTATCCAGAGGAAAAGAAGTTATTTTATTAAAAAGACACCTGCACGTGAATGTTTATTGCAGCACAGTTTCACAATTGCAGAGATGTAGAATCAACCCAAGTGTCCATCTTCAGTACATGAGTGGACTAACAAAATGTGGTATATATATATACCATGGAGTACTACACAGCCATCCAAAAGGATGAATTAATGCCTTTTGCAACAATTTGGAGGGAACTGGAGACCATTATCCTAAGTGAAATATCTAAAGAATAGAAAAACAAACACCACAAGTACTTGCTATTAAATTGGAACTAACCGATGAACACACATGTGCACAGAGGGAAGTAAAACTCAGTGGAAATCAAGCATGGGGGAAGGGGCAAAAGGGGAGGGGTGAAAATCTACCCAACAGGTACAATGAACACTATTTGGGTAATGGGCACAATTACAGCCAGGACCCAAGCATTACAAAAGCGATCCATATAACCAAAAACATTTGTACTCTCTCAGTATTTTGAAATAAGATAAAGAAGTGAATAGTAGAAAAACAACTCTTTAGTCATTAACGGAATCAAAATAAATCAAGAAAAATAAAAAATAAATAAAAGAAGAGATACCCTTCCTCAGATAAATATTCTTTACGGGGTATGCCTTGTTAGACAGTTCTAAACAGTTGGTTCCCCATTAGAACACCAAGCTAGACACTGGAATTAAGCAGCCTTTTCAAACTTGTTTTAATTATGTGGATTAAAAAAACAAACTCAAGTATAAAGGCAAAAAATAAAACTTAATGAGATGCAGTGAAAGCAGCATCCAGAGGGAAATTTATAGCTGTAAATGCCTACATTAAAAAAGAAAAAAACTGAAATTAATAACCTACACTTCCCATTTTAAGGAATTAGAAAACAAAAAGCAAACAAAACCCAAGGCAACCAGAAAGAAAGAAAGGCTGGAGTGTAGATAAATGAAATGGAGAATAGGAAAATAACAGAATCAATAGGACAAACAATGATTCTCCGAAAATATCAATAAAATGAACGAGCCTTCAGCTAGACTCACACACATACATGCACACACAGAGAAGATTCAATTACTAAAATCAGAAAGTGGGGATATTACTAACAACCTTAGTAATTGAAAAGATTAAGTAAATCTTTTTTACTTAAAAGATAAAGTAAATGAACAGATTATAAGAAAATACTGTGAACAATTGTATAGCAACATATTAGATAACCAAATGAAATGGACAAAGTCCTAGAAACACACAAATTACCAAAACTGACTCAAGAAACAATAGAAAATATGAATAGATCTATAACAAGTAAAGAGCTTAAATCAGTGATCTAAAACCTCCCAACAAGGAAAAGGCCAGGACCAGACAGCTGTACTGGTGAATTACATTAAATGTTTAAAGAAGCAACATCAGTGCTTCTCAAATCCTTCCCCCACACACACACAAAAAAGGAGAAAACACTTCTTAACTCGTTATATAAGATCTGTATTACCCTGATGAGAAAGCCAAAGACACCACAAGAAAACTACAGACCAATGTCCCTTATGAATATAGGTGCAAAAATCCTCAGTGAAATGCTAGCAAAGTGAATCCAGCAGCATATTAAAAGGATTATATACCATGACCAAGTAGGATTTATCCCAGGGATGCCAGGATCATTTGTTATATGAAAATCAATCAATGTGTAATACATGTTATTAATAAAATGTAAGGGGAAAAAATCAACTGATCATCTCAATGCAAAGAAAAAAAAAGCATTTGATAAAACAAACTCTCAACAAACTAAGAATAGAAGAAAAATTTCCCCACCTGGTAAGAGTGCATCTATGAAAAACCCATAGTTAACATTGCTGGTGGGAACATAAAATCATACAGCTGCAGTGCAAGACAGTTTGATGGCTCTTGGAAGAAGTTAAACATAGAATTACCATTTGACTCAGCAATTTAATTCCTGGGTATAGATCCAGAGACATGGAAACATATTTCCACACAAAAACTTGTACATGAATGTTACAGTAGCATTATTCATAATAGCCAAAGTGTGCAAACAACCCAAATGTTGATGAATGGACCAATAAAATGTGGTATATCCATGTAATGGAACATTATTCAGCCATAAAAAGGAATGGAGTACTGATACATGTTACACTATGGGTGAACCTTGAAAACATTGTGCTTAGCTAAAGAAGCCACATACAAAAGGCCATATATTGTGTGGTTTCATTCATAGTACTCCCCCTTATCCACAGGGGTGTGTTCCAAGATTCCCAGTGGATGCCTGAAACTACCAGTAGTACCAGACCCTATTATACTATGTTTTCTCCTATACATACACACCTGTGATAAAGTTCAATGTATAAATTAGGTATAGTAAGAGATTAACAACAGTAACTAATTATGAAATAGAACAATTATGTCAGCATCATTATTCGTACACTGTGGGGCCATTGTTAAGTAAAAATAAGTGTCATTTGAATGCAAGCCCCATTTGAATGCAGCGCTGGTCTGACAGCTGAGATGGCTGACGGGTGGGAGGCATATGTGGTGTGGTTATGCTGGACAAAGGGAGGATTCGTGTCCAGGGTGGGACGGAGGGCAGCGTCGAGGGATTTCGTCATGCTACTTAAAATATCGTGCAATTTAACACTTAGGAATCGTTTATTTCTAGAATTAAAAAAAATAATAAAAATAAAATACCATCCAGTCTCCTAAGAAAAAAAGAAAAAATAAATATTTCTAGAATTTTCCATTTACTATTTTCAGACCATGACTGACTGCAGGTAGCCAGAACTGTGGAAAGCAATACCACGGATAAGGGGGAGCACTGTGTTTTAAATGGGCAAGTCCACAGCGACAGAGGTTGGTGGTTCTGGGGGGAAGTGACTGCTGAATAGGCACAGCATTTCTATTTGGGGTGATGAGAACATTCTGGAATTAGACAGTGGTCATGATGGCACAACATTGTGAATGTACCGAAAGCCACTTAATTTATACAGTTTAAAATGGTTAAAATGGTCCATTTTATGTTATGTGAATTTCACCTCAATAGAAAAATTAAAAGAAAAACTTTTCATGGGCACACAGATCCCCCGGAGGGCCCCTTACAATGAAGATTCTGACTCGGGGGTCTGGGTGGGGCCCAGGACCCTGCATTTCTGACGAGCTCCCAGGTGACGCCATTGCCGTTCGTCTGTGGCCCTGTTTGGAGTAGCCAGGCTACTCAAAGGGCTTTTCTGCTGTGCCGTGTTATAATTCTGGCCTCGGGTGCCTCCCATCTGCGAACCACCCCCTGCCACGTCTGCCCTGTAAATAAGGAGGGGTGAAGTGCAGGCGGCAGGGGGCTGGGGGGGGGGGGCTCCCAGGTCTGAGCCTGGGGAAGGATGCAGGCTGGGGACACGGGAGTGCACGGAAAAGGGGCTGTCGCTCTGTCAGCAGACACAGAGGGGACCAAAGGAGAAGCTTTTATTTCACACAAAGCTGGGGAAGGAAGGCGGGAAGACGGGGCTCCGTCCTCAGAGGGTTGCTGTCCGCAGGCGTGTTAGCCCCGGCTGCCGGGCTCCTCCACCTCGGGGCTCAGAAGCTATCTGAAAGAAAGGGGTGGCCTCGGAGTGAGCAAGCAGGGGGTGCTGGAGGGTCCCCCGCCCAGCGGTGCCCCGCACCTTCCCTCCCTCCCCTGCTTGCTGCCACCCGAGCCACTCACCATCTCCAAGGAGGTCGGGGGCCGGGCTGAAGGGCCCGGGGGGCAGGTTCCAGGCCAGCTCCTCCAGCAGGCCCAGCAGGCCTTTCACTTCCGTCTCTAGGTGCTCCACTGTCTTCTCCAGTGTCTAGGACAGGAGCAGGGGACAATAGCAAGGACGAGAGTGGTGCCATGTCCTGCTTTATCAGTCACATGCTAAGGAGCACCTAGAGGTGCCGTGGGTGCAAGGAAAAGGGGAGTGGGTGCCTCAGGACCTGGGTCCTCCTCGTTCAGACTGTGCCTCTGCCTCAGTTTCCCCATATGACAATATCCTGAGGGTCTCGCTCTTCAAGGCCACTTCCTGTGTTGGCATGGAGCGACCCTGGAACACCTTTTCCCTTTTGGCTTTTGCAGCCTGGAGCTCACATTCCTTTTGTTGCTCCGCCCCCTGGTGGCATCTCTGCCAAATGACAGGTTTGGAATTTCGCAATTTTCTTTATTCAGGGTTTTTAACTTGTGTGTGTGTGTGCATATGTGTTGTACCATGGACTCCGTTGGCCATGTGGTGAAGCCTACAGCCTTCTTCTGAGAATAATTTTTTAAGTGCAAAAAATAAAACATACAGAATTGCCAAGGATACAAACTATATTAAAATATTCAATTGCTAAAAATTAAATTTTTGATATAATAACATATGTATTTATTAACCCACTAAGCCACATGATCTAACATCAGACTTAACAACGACTGAAATTTTGACATAATGAGTTGTATAAATGATATGTGGAGATATAACAACTAAGACAGGGTGAAATTATCTGTCATGTCTATTGGTGACAAAGTCACAGTACTATTAAAACTATGGTTTGCGTCTGTATTTATGAGGAATGAGTAGATTTCAGTGAAATTTAGCACTCTCATTTTTTAGGCTGGTAATAATAAAGACGTAATGTTCCCCCCCACATGAATTTTTGGGCTGCAGGTAGGAACCATGGCTGTCTAACGAAACACAACGATCGAATTTCCACCTTCCCGGCTGGTAATCACGCAGAGATCTCCAGGGGGCGGGGGGTGTAAGCAAGGCCCCGGGGGAGGCAGGGTCTGTTGGGAGCCAGTCAGCCAACAGCCCAGGTGGCACAGGGCCATGTTTAACCTGGTGACCACGGGGCAGGATTGGCCTGGATTTCCTGACACTCCAAAGAAAGCTTGCACCTGCACCCCGTGAAGCCACATGTCCTCCTAAACCACCCTATTACCTCCTCCATGATGTCCAGACGGCCTTGGACAGCACCATGCCTGTCACATCCAGTGCTCTGAGCAGGGCCTCCTCGGGAGGGGCTGAAGGGTTCTGCAGCTGCGGGAAAACATGTCTTGTCAGTGCGGGGCCCTCGGCTTCCCTGTAACATCAGAGACTCTTGCAAAACACTGAGCTCCGGTGAGGGGGGGCTGCCAGCAACCGCACGGGTGAGCAGAGGGAAGCCCGGGTGTGGGTCTGTGTGCAAGCTGTGGCCACCTCGGTCCCTCCCTCATTTCTGTGACCACGCTCACCTGCAGACTCAAGTGGCTTCCTCAAGGAGGTGGAGCCTGAACTGGGACTGGCAGGATACGAGGAAAGACGCCGGCCAGGGGGAAGGGCACGGGCAAAGACAGCAGTGTGGACAAGCATGTCTCGGGGTGCAGAGACCCCACGGGGAGCCTGCAGCAGCTGAACACACAGGGTGGGCGGAGAATATGTGGCGAGGGGCACCCGGGAGTTGGAGCCAAGGGGACATAGCTTTACCCCAGAGGCCTTAATAACCCAAATCCCACGCTTGTTTGGGGGTTTAACAGAAGAGTCACAGAGTCATACGTGAATTTTTAAAATATAGAAAATGGATTGGAGGGATGTGTCTTGGAAGGCAGGAGGTCGCTGCAGTAACCAGGGTGAGAAGTGAGGAACAGAGGCAGCAGCTGGAGGAAGAGAAAGGAAGAACGAGCAGCAATAGGCTGGCATGGGCACCAGCGAGCAGTAGCCGTCGCTGCACCCGAGTGCTCACTGCGCACCGTGTCCTGCGCCGAGCACAGGCGTTAACTCAACCTCTCCGACCACCTGCAATTGACACACAAGGAAACTGACGCACAGAGGGCTGAAATGATGTGTCTGAGGTCACACCACCCGTTAGCGGAGGATCTGAGGTTTAACCCGCTCAACCCTTGATTCATTATTTTTCTCAACACTGGTCCTTCCTGACATCATCGGCCCCACACCAGAAGTCTCCGAGCTCTGGTCTGAGCCCAGGTTTCAAGCTGGTAACTCTGGGATGCCTGTGGGGTGCCAGAGCTGGCTGAAGCCCTGGAGAATGCTGGCGCTCAGCAAGGCAGGTGCTGCCCCAAACGTCAGGAGAAACCGGGAGCTTTACAGATCCTACCAAGCATGAAAAAGTCAGTATGGCAGCAGGGCTGCAGGGCAGCAGGGCAACAGGCAGGGCCAGCACGATAAAGGCTAGCACGATAAAGGCCAGAAAAGCGGAATGCCAGGAAAGGCCCTGCTGAATGTCACCCTGGCACTTTTAGTCAAGTGTTGGGGGCAAAGCAGAGTCTAGATTGCAGCGGGATGAGAAGGCAAGGCCAGGTCAGGGCTGGACACTTGAACCTGGAGAACTTTTTCACCAAGCTCGGCTCTGAAGGAAGGCACAGATCACAAGTTCTAGAGAAGTGTTGATTGTTGTCCTTTCTGTCTTGTGAGCACTGGAAAACAGGACTATGCTTCCAGCCTAAGGGACAGGAGAGAGACAGGAGGAGGAAGGAATGCATTTCCCGAACCAATGGGAGGTCTGGGAGCCAGAGGGCTGGGGCAACACGTGGAAGAAAGGGAAGGAATGCAGCAAAAAACGGGCCAAGACACACCTGCACTTAGTGGCCAAAGAGCTGAGCGAGCTCCCATCTGGCGGCCTCTACTCCCTGGGTAAAGTAAGAGGGAGGAGAGCTGATTGTTAAGTCTGCAGGAATTCTGTGAGTGGGTTGTTCAACTTGGCCATTAAAGTGGTGGTGGCCGTGGTGAGAACATTCACACCACGGAAATCAGCAAACACCCTTTCTTTTTGAGCGCCAGTCTATCGGTGCACCACTGGGTGAGGGGCTTGAATAGAGAGACGGTTTCAAAAGGGGATGTGGAGGACGAGGGGGGCGGTGCGGGAGGACCACGCAGAATGGGCATCAGAGAGGAGCCTGGCTGCGCCAGGTGTCTGCCAGCTGTGCTCCGCCTCGGGTGCAGAGCCGCGAAGACAGACGGCTGGTGGGGGAGGCTGATCCTGGGAGTCTGCAGATGCGTGTGGTGGGGCGAGGGCCCAGGGAGCTGAGATGTGACCAGCAAAGGGCATGGGGAGGGGCCCTGGGGTCTAGCTGGGATGAAGGAGGGGAAGCCAAGAAGGGGGCCCATAAATTGGGAGAAATGGGGGGCTGAAAGGACTGGAGGTCTCGATGAAGTCACAGGAGGGACGAATGGTGAGGGACATTGCAATTTTAGCTTTTAGAGGAGGAGCAGCTTCAGACAGTGACAACATCAAGGTGGGCAGGCCCTGGGGTGGGACAGGGATGCTGAGCCACTTAACTAGTGGTGGACGTGTAACTGAGAGGTAAGTGGCTGGCCCAAGGTCACACTGCCAGCAAACGGCCGGACACCAAGCACCCCGACCTCCTCCTGGCCCCATCTCAGCAAGTGGCCTTCTGGGACTCTGCCGGGCTCCTCCTGCCCTAAGATTTTCTTGTTCCGACTCTATCTGGAAGCATTCGGGGACAAGAACCAAGACCAGGGACAAAACTTCCTTCATTTCTGAGCATCTTCGGTGGAGAGCAATTTGTTTTTAAAATTCTCCTTTGCATTGTTTCCCTCCATTGAGCTTAGCAAAGCCTCTTCAAAGGTAGATGTTGCTACCGCTGAATCTGGGGGTGGGGGAACATTATAATGGCAGTTTGGCTGATTTTTAAAAAGCGATTCTCTTAGAGACCCATACTGAAATGTTTACAGATGAAAATGCTATGAGCTCTTGGATTTACTTCAGAGTAACCCAGGCCTGGGTGGCCTGGGGAGAGGCTTGGGTGGGCTATGAGGCAGACGAGATTGGCCAAAGCTGATCCCTGTGGAAGCTGGGTGACGCGTGCGCAGGGTGCATTCAGCTGCTCTCTCTGCGCCTGTGCATATGGTTTGAAAGGTTCCATAACGAGAGCCAAGTGTCGGATGGGGTTGTCAGCAGAGAGCAAAAGCTATCGTGGGCTGCATGCAACCACGTAAAGTGTTCAGGGCGAGAGGAGGGTGAGGAGAGACCCCAGAGGGTGGGGGGCTGCATTCCACTCCGGCCACACATCCTGAGGACACTCTTTTGGAGGTGGTCTTGGTAAAGGGACTCCAGGTTCATTTGTCTCCACTGAAACCAAGCTGCTCAGCCTGGAGGGGAAAGGCCGGAAGAGCTGTTCTCACCACAGGGCGGCCGTCCTGGGAAGAGGGGCCTGTGCTCAGTGGGTCTGCCTTTCCCCTGTGGCCAAGTCTTTCCCCTGCCCTCTCCAAGGCCCTAACCCTCTTCCCTCATGCACGTCCCCCAGGCTGAGGCCAAGAGGCGGCAATGCAAGCCAAGCGGGGATCTGGCTGCTGCAGGACTCACGCGCGGATCTGCTCCTCCCCGCTGGCCTCCGACACCCTGTTCCCGGCGTGTCTGCGATGAGGTCTGACTTGGCTCCAGAACCCCTCCCGGGAAAGGCCCGGGCCGAGGCCGCTCTCCGCACAGCTCAGCACTAATCCCTCACATCTGGCCAGATCCTGCTCTGTGCAACCGCCGCAACTGTCCACGAACTCATCGGGGCCTCCGAAGAGCTCATCGGAGAAAGCAGGCTCGCAGCAAGGACTAACACCCCCTGCCGCGCCTGCCCCCTCCCGCGTGGGTTCCTCGCCACGACCCCAGTCTCAGCCACTTATTCTCGTGGGGTCGTGAGAAGTTTCCTCTCCCCCTGGAGCCTCTGCCGCCTCCTCTGTGAAGCGGGGTGGGGTCGGCCTGAGGCCCTGTGGCCCAGATGTCCCTCACCCATGATTCTTCTCTCTTTCCAAGTCAGCTGAGAGGCCTCAATGGTTAGCTACAAGGACAGGACTGGGGTGAGTGAAGGAGAAGCAGCTTCTTGGACCAGAAGCTCCAGCAAGGCAGGAACTGAGTGCCTGCACACACACGCATGCGCGAACGCACACACATGCACACACATGCGCACACACACACACACACACACACACACACACACACACACACACACGGGGCTGCCAGGAGGTTCAAACCAGAGAAGTGGGAAAGGCTGATCGACCCTGAATGGCCAAGGCTGCGGCTCTGCTCCCTTCCTTCCTTCCCTCCCACCCTCCCTGCCCCTGCCGGCTGGGAAATGGACCTCCTTGGATGCTGGGTTGTTTTCTCTGGCCCGGCTCCTGCTCCGGGCCTGATGTGCACCCTGGACGGTGGCCATGGGTGGGGCATCCTGTGCTGGTGAGAACAGGCTGCAGCGGAGCCAGAGGCCCCGGGGGAGGGCTGGGCTGGGCTGGCCGCCCCAGTTAAAGAGATGGCCACTGGGTCCTGTCCTCCCATTTCCAGGCCTTCCAGGGAGACCTTCTGTATCTGGGACCCAAACAGTAAGAAAGCGCCCACCACTCGAGCGATTTCTGCGCTTAGTGACGACAAACTTATTCTCGGCAGCGACTGTAATAGCCGCTGTACCTTATGCATTATCAAAGTCACACCCTGCTCTGACCAGCAACGCTGGCCACTTGGGGGTTAATTATATTTGACCACATCCAATATAACAGAATGATAAATTTTACCACATCCAATGTGTGTATAAGGATTCGTGATTCATTCAAAACCATCCGTGGTTGTGATTATTGTTAAAGCAGCAGAACACGGTTTCCAGATGATTCGATGAAGAACTCCAAAATGCGGAGCCACTCGGCTGAAACAGAAGAGGGACCCCTTGGGGCCCCTGAGAGAGAGCTCTGATTACGAGGAAGGTTTTTGTTTTGTTTTCTTTGGGGAGGGTTGTGTCCTGTCTCCCCTGGTCTCTGGTCATTTTCCAGATCTGGATTTGAGCCTTTTGATCACTCCAAGACTGTACCGATGTCATTTCTTTTCTTTCTTTCTTTTTTTTGAGACAGAGTCTCGCTTTGTTGCCCAGGCTAGAGTGAGTGCCGTGGCGTCAGCCTAGTTCACAGCAACCTCAAACTCCTGGGCTCAAGCAATCCTGCTGCCCCAGCCTCCCCAGTAGCTTGGACTACAAGCATGCGCCACCATGCCCGGCTAATTATTTCTATATATATTATTTGGCCAATTAATTTCTTTCTATTTATAGTAGAGATGGGGTCTCGCTCTTGCTCAGGCTGATTTCGAACTCCTGACCTCGAGCAATCCTCCTGCCTTGGCCTCCCAGAGTGCTAGGATTACAGGTGTGAGCACCACTCCGGCCTCGATGTCATTTCAATGCATTCAATGTCTGGCTGTTAGTATCTTTGTTAGGATACGAGTGAGGCTGCCTTAACGAAGAGCCCCCCTCAATCACACGTGTTCTCTCTCGGGTATCGGGTGTTGATTCAGGTGTAGACTGGCTGGCTGTGGTGGCGCTGCAGGCAGCTCTGCTCTCTTAGGCCATTCAGGGGCCCAAGATTACTTCCATCTTGGTATACTGTGTTTTTTAATCCACTGAATTATGATGCACTAAAGCACTCCCAAATCTCCAGGATGCTGAAAAGGTCTAAAAAGCCATCAAGGACAGAGCTCCTCTCTGAGTGCTGCAGAAAGAAGGCGGGTGGGAAGTTGGAGATCCAGTCTTTCCGACCATGTGCCCTCTGCCTCTCTCGACTTCCCTCCCCTCATCTGCAAGGCATGTGCCTTGCCCAACTGCTTTGCAGATGGCTGTATTGCTCCTGCTCTCCCCGACGCCTTGGAACTGCCAAGTGATGTGCAGATGCCACACGGGGACATTTGCTTGGGAAGATGAAGGCACCAAGGCAGTCAGTGAAACTCGAACCAGGACCCTCCACACGGAAGCCAGCGCTCTTTGCCACATCTCTCCAACAGGTCTCCCCAGGATGGAGAGGCGCCTGCTCCAGAACCAAGCCCACACCGGGAGTCAGATGCTGCAAGTGTCCAGGGAATGTCTGGGGCGGGGGGCTTCTCCAACAGGGACGCAGGGGCTCAGCCCTGACCCACTCTCTGGTTCCCGATACACGCCGATCTCACCTGCTGCACCCTTGGCTTCTTCACCTTTAGAATGGGCACAGCCGTGCTCTATGTTCCAAGCTACCACTGATTTGTGATCACTTATTGTGCGCCAAGCTTTTTGCTCAGTGCTTACAGCAATCATTTCATTTAATTCTGTGAAGTCAGTATTCTTATATTCCTTCCCCTCCCCCTTTTTTTTTTCACAGATTAGAAAACCAAAGAGCAAAGAGTAGCATGCCTAAGATTTCACAGCTAGTAGTAAGTGGTGGTGGCATGTGACCCCTTCGCAGTTGTCCCAAGGCCCACAAGAGCCCAAATGTGCACCTTGGGTCAGATTGTCTTTGAGTGGTTCTCTCCGCCCCGCCCCCACCATATCCATTTTTGTGAGAAGAGACCCCAGGACCCTCACACAGCCCTCTGGCAAAAGCAGAATCCCAATGGAAGGCAGATGTCCATGGGGACCTGGAACAGTGCTGGACAATGACAGCTTCCCCATCGGAAGCCAAGGCACGGACGAAAATGATTATACTAGTTAAAAGGATGAAGTACTTAACACATCAAATTCCTCCCATAGCAAAATAGGAACTCGGCTAAAGCCTTTCCTTAACAAAAGGTCTCTATAGGTAACACAAACAAGTTTCCTTCACTTCATATATAAAGAGCATTTACAGAACAATATGAAAAATCCCAACACCACAGTAGAAAAAGTCTAAGACAATTTATAAGACACTAGAAATGACCAATGTGCCTGTGAAGAAAAAGTCCAACTTCAGTAGTAATCAAAGGAATGCAAATTAAAATAATAAAAACTATCTATCTATAAAGTATTCTAGCAAATAAAGACCTAACTGGGATTTGATCAAGCTTCTAGATTTAACTATCAGCTCATAGGCCATGTTCAGGCCATGAACCGATACTTGCAGAAATAGGGTTGATCAGTATATTATACTCTTCTATTTCTGCATACTATTATTTTATGTTTTATTTTTGTATCCAAAAGTTTTCATAATCAAAAGTCAAAAAAATGGAACATTGTCTGAAATCTGAAAGGTTATGCACAAAAATGTGTGAAATCAGTGTAAAATTACATTAATACATCTATACTTTCCTCCTTTTCTTCTTAATCTGTAGCAATGAACAGGCATAATCAGAAGAAAGATAAGGTGTGAAAGTGGGTTTACATTTTTAAGTATCACTTGTGGCTAAAGGAGAAAGCAGGCTCAAGGAGAAGATATGGGTGTATTTCCTCTGTCACCCATTCCCTGAAGCCACCCCATGATGTGGGCCTCATTCTCCCAGATTTACAGAAGGGAACAACCTCAGTGAGGTGAGGCCACTCAGCCCAGGCAGGGGCTCCCCAGGGTCAGGGTGGCCTGGATCCTTTGTCTGAGTGCTCACTCCCAGCGTTCACTGGGCCCTGAGAGGGACTGGGGTATCCTATCTTGGCACAGAGCAGCCCTGCCTGGGTGGGGGCAAGGGCCTGGCAGGGGACTGGATTCCTGATGCTTGGCGAGGGCTCTGCTTTGGCACCATGTCCCCTCGCCTACACAGCTGGGATGAGCTGTCACTCCCTGGGTAGACAGGGATGTGGGCTGCGAGCTGTGAGCTGTGGTGCAAATGCAAGCTGGCGGGACGTACAGTTCTAGGCCATAGCCCAGTAAGACGCTTGACAAAAGTCACACTCTCTGAGCCTCGCCTGTGGAGGGACAGTATCAAGGCTACTGGGAGGGGGCAGAGGAGGAAAGGGGATAGCACAAAGCAAGGACCCCCACCAGTGGAGGACCCAGATGACCCCTCTCTGACATATCCCCACCTCCACCCAAGGCAGCTCAGGCCCCCAGAGAAGCTCCCCGGGAACCTGGAGGCTGGCGTCCTCAGCCAGGCTGCAGAGACACCGCAGGCCACCTGGCAGGTGAAGCAGCCTCCTTTCTCCCCGGGGCTGCCTGGCTGGCTCCCTAAGGCTGTGCTGGGCCCAGCTTGGGCCATTCTCCCCCTGGATGGAGCTCAGCCTCCTGGCAATGCACCCCAGAGCGCGGCCGAGGGCGGCGTCAGCAGCTCTGGGTCGGCGCTGGCCTCCACGGCGGCCCAGCCCGCAGACTTGACCTCCTGCCCCCCATGCTTGGCTCCCTCTCTGCCGCCAGCTCTAGCCCTGGTGTGGAATTTGTCTTCTCCCTCTGTCTCTCCGCTCCTCCTTCCTTTTGCCATTTCAGTTACTCTTTTTCTTCCCTTCTTCTCTTTTGTCTCTCAA